TGTTTGTTGCCTATGTTGTTGCAGGCAGAGTGCCTGCTGGTAGGACGCTTGTGAGCGGAGGACTCGACTAGAGAGAACAGAGGCGACAGCATAGCGTTGGGGGCAGAGGGTTGGGGAGATGGTGAAGGTAGGAGGTAAAGGAGTGACGAAGAGAAATGCGTCATTATATGCTCTCGATCTTCAGCAGTTGATTACATAAGCAACTATAATATGAGTCGTCAACTGATAGAACATTTCAATTATTGTATTTAGGTATAAAATAAAATAATTAATCTACTTTGTAATATAGTAAAAAGTAATATGACATGTATATAGCTTTCTAAACACACTGATGTAATTATTACAAGTAGATGAAATGCTTTTTACAATAATTGTAAACTATTTGTATAGATAGTCTAAGTATGATATACATATTATATACTTATAGTATACTTTTATTAAGATAATAATTATATAACAAGTGCTCTTACACTATTATATACATTAATATACCTTTTACATAAATTATAAGGCAACAATAGTTATTGTTACATTATTATATTGTAAATATTACCCTTTCTTTGAAATTATAATAAAAATGTAATGCAAGCATAATACTTTAGGCTATTATACAAAGTTAGTATAATACTTTTAATAGATTGTATTCATCCATAACACTTACTTAGCCTTTATATACATTAACATGTCTTATACAAACTTTACAATTGATTTGCAAGTCTTGTAATTCCTTTACAATATATATACAATACTTATGTTACTTTACAAAGTCTACAATATATTATAAGAAATGCGACTTTTTCCTGATGCTATCCCCAGTCCAAGGAAGGATGCAATATAGAAATATTATGTATTGGCTTACATACTGTGTCTTCTGTTCATGGAAATCGATCATTGCTCTCCCAATGTCCTATTATTGAACCACTTATTCATCTTGTAATCTTGCTTACTGTCTATCATTTTCTTAATACCTTAGTTAGTTACTCGTTCCGAATGCTGATGATACCTATCCTACTACGAAATTCAATCAGGACCTGAAGTTGATACGATTACGTGCATGTATATAGTCAACGTTCTCGAAACGCGAGTGAACAAACTGCAGTACAGAATCTCTATCGACCGTTGTTTGTATAACGATAACGAAACATTGTCTTACACTATAATGTCACGGAAATGGGCAAATATTTGCGCATTCAAAAGAACACATTGAAATTCATTTGACCGAAGAGGCTTTACAATGTACAAAGTCCAGTACATGAAAGTAGATCATTCTGATTTTTATAGAATATACAAACATAGCATACAGTATCAACGCCATCAAAAGATGAAGTAGATACTCGTATCCTAAAGCACCAATCATCAGTGATTTTCCCTTTCAAAAAGAGCAAAAAGACGTGAATATTTAGGGGACATACCATAGGATGAGAGCTCGACAGCTGTAAAGGAATACAATTCAGTACTAGGTTATATAAGTTTCTACAGGTTTAATTACGGCTTACCTGAGGTTTCTGACTGTATTTGCTCCTTAAAATATTCCGGACGTTGTTCAGCAGTTCCTGATATGTCTGCTGAGGCTGTTGATCTAAATGAGAGGAGAACAAATCCATTAGAATTGCGTTTAATACAAAATATAGTTCCAAAAACTTACCAAGGCAAGAGATAAACGCCTATACACGCAATGAATCAGTATTTGCAGGCAAAGTGATGATAAAATCCACGCACGTAGCTCATCGCACCCGTCGCTTGTCCAGCTTCAACAGTATCCGCACTAGTCTGCGAGTCCTTACAACCACTCCAAGAAATCTTCGTTCATTTCCGTCAGCAACGCAATCGAAAACCAAACAGACAAACAAAAGGAATAACGATAGGAAGGAAGATAGGTAGAAGATACGTACGACATCAGCAGGACTCGTCCTAGTCCTCCGCGAATATTCCTCTGCCTTCTGTGTACCACCCGTTGCGGACTTGAACAAGCCCATGGCACCTTTCATCATGCCACCAATGTCGTTTTGAGCGTACGATTTCGCTACGCCCATGAGACCTTGGCCCATTTCGGCAGCGACGTTTGGTTCTTTAATCTTGCCTTCGGTAGAGTACTAGCGAAGAAAAAGTCAAGTTTAATAATTGTGGTAGAAAACAGAGAATGAATGAGATACGAACGATGTATGGCAGATCTGCGAGGGATACAAAAGGTCAATTCTGGATAACGCCCACAACTAATAAGACAAAGTACCTAATACCGAACCCGAATGGCAAGACTGAAACCAGTATATTAGTTCATATTACTTTTAGAATGTTTAAATCGAATCTCACGTCGAAAATCGAAGTTAAACGGCAACCCGCCGGAAGTGGTCGCACCTGGACAAAAATCAGTGTCAGCAGGGAGAACTTAGCGGAGAATTGGTACTGTACCATAATATAATGCAATTCCTATAAATTCAGACGTCAGCATATCCCCAAAGTAATAAGCAGTGCAAATACACACATCATCAACAATATGGCCATTAACCTCATAATCAACAGGGTAAATAACTAAAGCAAACCTCTTAGTCTCAATATCAATTTTACAGTCGTTAAGCGTACCTTCGTCATAACCATCCGCCTCATCACCATCTAAATCTTTCGTCTGACCGCCATGTCCAGAATCTACGCCGTTTCAAGTCAACCAAGAAAGATACTTCGAAATCAGGAAGCAAAGACGCACAATGGAAGAAAAGTGAATCATTCGGGTTCGCGTCACGGACGAGCCACTGCATCGCATCGATCTAGTAATGTACGAAAGTAATTTTTATCAGCAGCTGACATGACAATACGGATGCCAAGCAAAAGCAAAAAAAGAAACTGACGATGTTCTGCTTTGTAGGAACTTGACGCGGGTTCCGTGCATCGTCCGTGAGCATGACGACATCATCTTCTTTGTACCCATGACCTAACCACCATTATAATTAATATTCTTTGTGAACATTTAATTTAATGAGAGTCCGAAAAACGTACCCAACAAGAAACGCCGGACGTTGTGCGCATCGTTGATGCACCCTCTTAGCTCTCCACTTTGGCCGAAATAGTTAATACCGATCTACGAGATATCGACAGGCTTGATGAGTGAAAGTCCTACTTGTAAGACAACCGGCGAACTTACGCAAAGAGCTTTCTTCCTTCCCGTACACTGGGAATACTCAAAATACGGTTGCGCGGCGCGATTGTCCGAGGGTGGACCGTAGTTCTGGACCCCAACCGGAGGAGCATGTGGAGCATGTGGCGGACCGCCTATGTACGAGATGCGTATATCAGTTGTGATGCCGCGAAGATAAATATAAATATAAATTATTTACTAGAGCTTGGATATGAATTATAGTTAGGTGGTGGCGCTCCTGGTGGCGCTCCCGGTGAAGGACGCATTGGAGGGCCTGGTGGAGGTCCGAAGCTGTTCGGCAAGAAAGTTAGTCGAATAAAGCACAAAGGATGTATTCCGACGACTCACGATCCCGGTCCAGGTCCATACCCTCCGTATCCTCCGCCCGGACCACCTGGACCAGGACTACCATAACCACTGCAGTTGAAGAATACTAGTGAGCGCGTAACTCAGCAGCGGAGGAGAATGTTGTGCTCACCTGCCAGGAAACCCACTTGGTGTACCACTCGGAGGCGGTGCATAGGACGGAGCGTACCCGCGCTGACCGGGAGGTGGACCAGGCGGGGCGCCATATTGGTTGGGAGGCGGACCTGGCGGCGCACCATACTGGTTGGGAGGAGGGCCTGGTGGAGGGTTGAAACCGCCACCCCCAAACCCACCACTGGAACAATCACGCTTAGCTTCTCGTACTTTGTTTACACCAAAGTGATGATTTACCCAAATCTACGAAAGATATGGCATGATTAAAATTCATGATAAGGGTTTACGTGTCTCTACAAGACTCACCCTGGAGGAGGAGTAGGGAAACCAGGAACTCCTTGGCCTGGCGGTGCACCAGGCGGAGGAGGGTATCCTACACGATGGTGTTGTTGCTGTTGTCCTGGATAATTATTCCACATCTTTTAGATCTTTGAATCGAGTTGTTTAGTTGAGTGTTGCGGAGAGAGATGGGAGTAGGAGGCTAAGAACTTGGGAGGCTTATATGCTGTGTACGGGCTTGAGACTATTGACAGACGCGGTTGGGCGCACGCGAACTGCCGATCATCCATCAACTCACGTCATCGCCTCAAAAGTACAACGGCTCAAAGAACAACGTATCGATTAACATTTTATCATTCAAACTATACCCGTACTACAGATTCGCTATAGTGAAAGAGAGGCATCATTGGGCAGTGTTCGGCGGGGTCCAAGGTATCGGCTCATCTCGAAGCTGTCTCGTCGACGCTGCATCATGCTCTGCCTGTTCCTGCTCACGTATCGACTGGAACACAAAGGCACGAATGGCTTCTACAGCTGCTTTGAACGATGGGTTGTTCTGGTCTTGTACGAGCTTACAACTCTTGTCACTGCATTGTTCCATTGGTCGGTTCATGAATGCAAATGAAAGTTCTCGGCTGAAGCACAGGGTGTAGGTAAGAATTAGGAAAGTGTAGGTGAAGATAGGAGACGATGGGACGTACTAGTTACGACATCCTGGTCCATGAGGCTTCGGCTCATGACTCGAAAACAGGCGTGCTAGTCGCTTGAGGAATGACTCTTGGGCACAATTAGACGGATGCTTCTTGCTGTTGATGCATTCCCTTCGTTTACAGTCTTCGTCCTAAGGATCAACCATGGTCAACACCCTCCCGCGCTCGCTTAATTACCAATATACTTCACCTTTATCTCAACCTGCAGAATCTATTAGAAAGCTGCTATGTCCTGATTTTACGCAGAGTACTCACATGCTCGACCGCACCGCACTTGTAGACGGTGATTTGTCTTTAGAACAGCAACACAAGTTAGTGAATAACTGCGAGGAAACATAGAAGCTGGGACCGACTAACGAGACGAATCGACACATCGTCGACCTGGTGGAAGGAGCAAGGTCGTCAAGTCGGCATCGGCAGGGGCACGGAGGGCGCACAGTTGATAAATCTGTCAAATTGCACGAGTGCAGGACGGCCAAAGCAAAGTGAGAGTAGTGGCCAAGACGTCCAAGCAAGCAAAGTCCTATATCAGTGTATGATCATCCTAGTATTCAGAGACAGCCGGAGCATATAACCCGACCAGGCGAATGAAGTAGCTGTCGGATCTTGGTAGCGTGAACAACTATATTCATTGAGTATTCGCTGCTGCAGTTTCCGCACATTGCACGACTCGCACGAGCCCAGACCCAGAAACAGTACACGCAAGCAAAACGACTGTTTATACTAGCAGAAAGCGAAGTCCCGGTGACGGTGAGTACGGCTTAAGAGTGCCATTTATTAAATTTCAAGTCACCGTGCAGAGATTTTCAAATCACAAGCCATTGAGGTAAGAAGAGTTTGGAATGAGGAAAGGAGTCGTCCAGGAACGGATTTGAGAGTAGTCGTGGGAAATTTTCGGGAGGATGCATCAAATTCGACCCTTCGTTTCTCTACTAGCCCAAGGCTCGTCTCTCCACCCCGTCCTCGACGACCAACCTACCTAATCTCTCGTTTTACACAGATACAGGGCTGTCTGTCCACCTGGCGTATTTTCCAGCCGTTTTTCTCGTCGTGCAATTTTCCTCCGCCTCATCTGGAAAATCCCGAGGAGGAAACTGGCCGCGGATTTTCACACCGGCTGCAGTTTTTTTTTTCTTTTTTCTCGAACGAAAATACGAAAAAAGTAAGCCGAGGAGGAAACACAAAAAAAACCGGAGACACCACGCTGCTTTTTCAGTCCATTTCCCAAAAACACCTCCAAAAACTTGGAAAACTCCTCGGTAATTTAACTTACACATGGCAGACGCTCAGTCGACCAGTTCCGCTGAGGTCGAGGGATACGTCTGGTCGCCATCTGGTTCCGGACAACATACACTCCGCTTTGCTCCTGTTCCGGAACCGGGGACGGCGTCGCAGGGTGCGGTGAATGATAAGTCCTCGAGATGGTCTGCGCGTGACGACTGTGTACTATGCGACGCCCTCATCGAACAAATGTTACTCGGTAGGAAGAATCGGGATACTGCTGTCTTCACGCTCGAGGCATGGAACGCCGTCGCGGATAGGTTGAGGGGTAGTGAAGCTCATAGTGGTGGTTCAGAGAAGACGGTGACGCAGTGTAAGGCACGCTGGCAGCGGGTAAGTTAAAAACTTGATCTAATCATCTGTTCTATGTTGGTTACTTATTCATTTGAATCGTAATCGTTCGTTATCTTTGATGTAGCTGAAAATCGAATATCGCACCGTTAAGCACATCCGACAACAACCCGGATTTAGTTGGGATGAAAATACTTCGATGTTGACTGCCCTTGCGGCAACCTGGGACGCTTATATTGCTGTATGCAATGCGAGTGCTTTCTCATGCTTAATTAACAATTCTCACCCAGATTTTAAGCAGGGGCATCGTGATGCGCAACCCTGGCGAAAGAAGGGCTTTCCCGCATACAATAGGGTGGCATACCTCATTGAGGACGAGCATGGCCAGGATGCAGGCGAAGAGAAGTTCATGCGTCGCTGGAACAATTCTGCACAGACTAGCCCGCAGCCGCAACAACAGCAACAAGAATCATCAATTTCAACTCCCGTTCCGACTCCAGCTCCTGCGCCTACAGTTCTAGCACCGGTTCCAGCACCGACGATTTCAGCGCCTCTGACTTCAGCACCGCCAGTTTCAGCACCGTCGGCACCACCACCGCAACAACAACCTCAGCAGTCCCAGCTCCAGCAGCAACAACAACAGAAGCCTCAAACTCTTACAACATCCGATATAGTTCTCCCACCCTCAAGCACTAGCGTATTCTCAATTAATGGCGATAACAGGAGAGTAAATGCGCGTCCTCCACCATTCACGACAGTCCCAATTAACGGAGCGCGCGCTGATCCTCCTGCCTTTCAGACAGTAAGTCCTCCAGTCTAATACTTTACACACCTTATGTATTTTTTAAATCTTTCTTGTACTGCAGTACAAATTCGCTACCCAGACAAACGGAAAACGCGGCCAATCACCCGTTACCGACGTCTCCATCTCAAAACGTCCCAAATCCGCTGCAAGTAGTACGACAGTAGTCACTTCCCCGCAACCGCAATACGATTCCTACCCAGGATATCCTCCTCCCCCTCCTCCAGGGTCCGCGCCCGGCCATCCTTACCCCCCTCCCGCTCATGGTCATGGTCACGTTTTCTACGGACCTCCACCTCCACATCACGCCCACGCACAAGCACAAGCACCTCACCAACCTCATGCACCTCATACACCTCAAGCAAATTCTCCGATACCGGTACAACCCACTCGTTTAGCCATAGCGATCCAATGCGTCGAAACCTCCGAAGGACTTCCAGATACAGACTTTGTCAAGGCTGTACAGCTGTTTCAGAGACGAAACGAAGCTGCTGATGCGTACCTTGCGATTCAGAATAAACGTGCGAGGTCTCTGTATTTGAGAGCTGAGCTTGATGATTTTGGGAGTTCGTAGGCAGGAGCGGCTGTGGACGGCAGAATGTGCCCGCATTTTGTCCCTTTTCTGTTTTTTCTTTTTCCCTCCCTCTCGGATCCAAGTAAACGTTGCACTCGACGATTTTAGGAATTCGTAGGAGGGAGCGGGTGACTGGGACCGTGTCTTGGTTTTTTTCCGTTTTTTTTCCTTCTCTTTTCTTCACTCGGATCCTCGGGTTACTCTCAGTTGCCGACTTTGTCGGGACCGTGTAGCTGTTTCAACGACGGAATGAAGCTGCTGATGCGTGCCTGGCGGTTCAACTCCCTCTATCATTGTACCTGCGAGCTGAGCTCGACGATTTCGAAATGTCGTAGTCGTTAGCGGCTGTTCATGGCCGCATCCGCCCCTTCCCCATTTTCTTTCCCTCCCTCGGATCCAAGTAAACCTCATGCTTGCGAACGGAGCTCGATGACTTCTAACGTTTAGTCGTTTGCGGCGACTATGGCCGCTTGTCCTTTTCCTATTTTATTTCTCTCTTTTACTTTGCTTTTCCCGGATCCATGGGTTATTATTTCTTGTAAGTCCTAGCCTCCGTCAGTCATTGTCGTAAGCCAACTGACCGATTCTTTGTAGGAACGAAAGTATATTGCTGCTATATTTACGCAAAATTGTTTATTGCTATCGGTTATCGTCGAAGAATCTATGTATCATCGTATTTTTGGTTTATAGTTTATATATTTCAAACTAGCTAACTAGGTGTACCTTTTTTTTCTGGTTTTATTCAGTAGTGCCTCTCGGCTATCACATTCCACATACTTCAGTAACTCTTCGATTCGGCATTCTTATGAGAATCTACTCGGTTGTTCGGGCCATCGGTTTACTGTTTGTATAGGCGTATCGTGTTCGAACATGTTTGGTACAGTAATTCATTGACAATCGGTGCCTATATACATAACTCAAATCAAAGTCTGATGCCAATGGATGAGAGAACTATTCCCGAGATGTAACCATGTGGCTCTCCTGTATTACCTTCGCTAATGCCGTCTTCGCCTGGCGGTAGCGCAGTTGCGAAGTACCGTGATCTCATGATGCGTCGTTCATCCGACCGGCCCGGCGGAGTCTTTCTTGTGCATTCCTGCATCACACCCAAAACGCGAGGCACTTATGAAGACGGGGGGGGGGGGGTTGCTTCCACCTGGTTTTGGGTACTTGGGTAACTTTCTCACCGCGCCGAGCCAAAGAGCATATGAGCAGAGTTGGAATAACGAATCTCGATCATCGTTGGTTTATTTATTTTTTTCGTCGTTATTAATAAAACATTTCGGCTTGACTAGGTTGAACCGTTCCTCCGAGTATTTATCATTTATGTATTGAATTGAATTGCAAGGCTGGTTGGCTGGCTGGTTCCGCACTGGGTCCTTGAGCGCTGGGGATTCTAATTCCGTCCGACACGGCTCTTCTCTTCCGACCTTCCTGATGATGTTGAGACGAGACGCGATGTGGTCATGTTGGTATATAAGCTTTGGGTTGTGGATGCATGACCCTTTGGACCTACCTTGGACTTTGATCCCTTCGTCCCTCTGTACTATCGTTCCTTCGATCTTACCCGTCTTCCCACTCCCCTCTTGGTATCTGCATCCGTATTGCGAACCCGGAGTGCGCGACGAGCAATGGCTGTCATACAAAACACAGTTTCGGGTGCTGCGAATCGGCGGAGAGCCCTCGCCGGTCAATCTGGTTGGGTGCGTTATTTGTTTAGTTTGCCTTGATTGGCGAAAGCTGACTCGGTCCGACGAATGGGATGGGGATTGGTGATTTATAGGCTGGGTTGTTGCACAATCGACGTGTATTCGCGATAGCTGTATTCGCGTCGCTCGGTGGATTGTGAGTCTGTTTCTTTTCTTTTCACAAGTCTTGGATTTGATACTGATGAGCTCGATTTTCGTGCTTTTATCACAGACTTTATGGTAAAGAATCTTGATAACATCATTTGATTTCAACTCCAATGACGAATTGATTAATTTTAATAATAACATAGGGTACAACCAAGTCAGTACATTCTCCCTCCTCTTTGTACTTCTAATCGATTGATGAATGGTTTGTATAGGGTGTATTCTCAGGTGTCCTAACGTTCGTAGAGGATTCTAGATTTACTGCATGTGAAGAACGAAACTGATATTAGATTGCTTTCCCATCTGAAATCAGCATGTACACCTTCGAGCAACGGATGGGTGACGCAGTCTCCAATACCGGAAAGAAGGGATGGCTTGTCGCGATTTTGGAGTTGGGAGCTTGGTTCGGTGTTTTGTGTACCGGTTATCTTGCAGATAAGTTATCTAGGAAGTACACGATTGTCCTCGGTGAGTTCCTGCCGTTACCGTCTTTTACCATTGCCGGAACGAAGTATTAATAATGGTTCATCGACGTTTTTCGTTGGATAGCTGTTTGTGTATTCTGCGTTGGGGTTATCGTGCAGACGGCAGCGATGCATGCTTCGTCGATTTATGGAGGTGACTATTGCTTTCGTGCTGTAAGCGACTTAGGTTGTTCAAGTTATATGCCATTTAGGACGATTTGTGACGGGTCTTGGTGTCGGGTCGCTAAGTATGGCAGTTCCTCTTTACAAGTACGAAGCGCCCATCCTATCACATAACCACTCATAAATTGAACATAATCATACATCTAGTGCCGAGCTTGCTCCTCCGGAAGTACGAGGCTCTCTGGTCGCTCTTCAGCAGCTAGCAATCACTTTCGGAATCATGGTATCCTTCTGGATCGACTACGGAACGAACTTCATTGGTGGGTCGGGTCAAACGCAGCATGAAGCGGCGTGGCGTATTCCGTTGGCTCTGCAGCTCGTTCCAGCCGTGATTCTCGGTGTTGGGATTTTGGTTATGCCATTCTCCCCGAGGTGCGTTGTTATGTTCGTCTGGTGGAAGGCACCATAAGCTGAATTATACTTGGAAAGGTGGCTCGTTAACCAGGGAAGAAACGATGAAGCATTGGCTGTACTGAGTTCGGCACGTCGTCTTCCTCCAGACTCTGACCTCGTTCAAATCGAGTACCTGTATGTTTGTTTTCTTCTTTACGCCAGTAATTTCTTTTCTTAATTTTCGTTCGTCTAGAGAGATTAAAGCGCAATACCTATTTGAGAAACAAACGTCTGAGATGAAGTTCCCTCAGTACCAGGACGGCTCGCGGCTTTCGAACTTTAAACTCGGAGTCTACGATTATCTCAGTCTTCTCCGGTCAAGAAGTGCGACTACTCCATTCAACATATGTGTTGTACCCGAACTCTAACAGCCTTTTTACCTAGCCCTGCTTGTCCGCGTAGCCATTGGCTCTTTGTAAGTGCCGTTTTTCTTTTAGTAGAAAGTTTATATGGACTGACTTGACAAAATGCATAGAACCATGTTCTTCCAGCAATGGACAGGCGTAAACGCGATTCTGTACTACGCTCCTACTATTTTCGGATCCCTCGGATTGACAGGTACTACTACGTCACTACTGGCAACAGGTGTCGTCGGTATTGTGTATGCACCAGTATTCTTATTCATCTGTGCATGGATGTCTAACGGTGACGATTTGATTAGCATGTTCCTTGCTACAATTCCTGCTGTGATCTGGGTTGACCACTGGGGAAGGAAGCCTGTGTTGTGCGTTTCCAGTTTCCACATATTCGCCATTAAATTAGAAATTAACGCGGGCTGTCTTTGTCTAGAATTTCTGGAGCTTTCCTCATGGCCGCGTATGTCCTACTAATACCATGTAGTGCGGACTGACTGTTTTAACCGCGTTATGTCTATAGCTGTCATCTTATAATCGCTGTACTTTCGGGTCTCTTTGAGGATTCTTGGGGCAGGTAAGGAGAGTGATACGCTTCATCGTTACACTTCTCAACGCATTTCTTGTCTTGGTTAGTCACGTAGCTGCAGGATGGGCAGCCTGTGCACTCGTCTGGGTGTTCGCGATTGGTACGTAGTACATTTCCTCCTTCACATCCCCTTATTCGACTAACAAAAACTCTCAACGCTGCATAGGCTTCGGATATAGTTGGGGTAAGTAATCTTCACTTGGAGTTTTATTTTATAGAGATCTCTAATCTAAGCTCATTCAATGCGATCTGATCTCATTTCCGGCTCGGTATAAATAATTTTAATTTACTGAAAACAAAGGTCCATGCGCATGGATTCTTGTTGCCGAGATTTGGCCGTTAAGTGTCCGAGGAAAGGGTCTCTCGATCGCTGCTTCATCGAACTGGGTAAGTATCTACTTTTCGTTCCGTATTTCGTTGGGCGATAGCAATGTTGCTGATGCCGATACGATTTTTAATTTGTCACGTATAGATGAATAATTTCATTGGTAAGTACGATTTCTGATAGATAGATCTTCGGGGATTTTGTTTTTCAAGGTCAAGGAAGGAATTTCTGACATTTGAATTTATTGTTTATTTTGTATGAACAGTTGGGCAGGTACGAACACGACTTTTCTACAGTGTTGAAAAATGGATAGAAATTGATTCGTAACCTTTTTGGGCATGTAGGTAACGCCAACGATGCTCACGCATTTGCGTTTCGGAACTTTCATATTTTTCGGGGTACGTGTCCCCCTGCTTCACTATTATTTATCAACACCCAGCCATCATTTCCGACACCATCCATCCTAACCCAATTAATTATCCACAAAAGCCAAATAACTAACAAACTATTAATCATAGACATTCTCATTCATGGGCGGCCTCTTCGTCCTCTTCTTCGTACCCGAAACAAAAGGTCTCACACTAGAAGAAATGGACGAAGTCTTCGGTGACGAATCCGGTAGCAGCGTAGCAGACCAAGAACGTCTTCTCGTTATACATAAGCGAATTGGTCTTGATGTGTATGGACGTGCGAGTCCGGTAGATATGAAGGGAAGGGAGAGTGATGAGAAGATGGATGTTTCGCACCACGCTTGAGTTGAATGAGTGTATGGGGGGAGGATTTTTTTGTCGTCCTCGATCTTTTGAGCGAGTGATAGAGAACGAAGAGTTATGATATTACGTTTAAGTGTTGGTTTCTTCGTGAACGGTTCGCTTTTGATGTTATGTTGTTTATCTACGAAAGTATTAAATTGCTATAACTTTTATTCATTTCATGATTACACGAAATTTCACTTGACTTGCTTCCTGCCCTATTTACAAAATGTGCGACGTCGTATAAAGTTATAGAAAATACGAAAGGAAACAGGATAGTTATTGAGGTTTTTCTGCACGAAACCGCCTCCGGACCAAATAGAGAGAAAAATCAGCTTGGGCTTTTCGAATGCGTTAATGTGAAAGGCAAAAACTTGCATATAACAGCAGACCCTGGAAACCTTGGTTAAAAAGTAGATTTGTGAGTGATGACCGGAATGTAAAACAATGATAGGGGTTTGTATGTATTAGTTAGTCGTGAGCAAAATGTGTAAGGAAGGTCGATACAACAGGATGTAAAGGCACCAAAACCATTAGATGCACGGATGGAAGGTTCAACGCCGTTCTAAGATTGCCGACCTATGCATGATTCGGCCTTGAACAGCAGTCGGAACCTGCTGCTGCTGAGCTACCGGAGCAGCTTGAACGCCCACCCCGACGTGCGCGGGTGCAGGCGCAGGTGCAGGAACCGGTGCTAGCCCGGGTCCATTCATAAAAGCGAAATTCGGTACGAACCCAACTGCTGCACCGGGATCTGGTGGTGCCATTGCTTGTAGTTCTAGCTGTAGTCGTTGTGCGATCGGATCTGCTACCGGGGCGTGCATATTCGGGATAAGTTCTAACTGCAAGCCCTGTGCGTAGGCATTGAAGTTGTTCGCTGGCACGGTATGTCTAGCGACAACGCGTGGTCTTGTTTGTAGTTCGTGAAGTCGTCGAATTGCTGCGTCGAATTGCCCACGCGCTGCTTCAGCGTCCGCTTCCATCAACTGCTGGTGTATCATGGCTAGTTCACCCGGTATTTCATTCTGTATAAATGCCGCTCCCGGTCCAGCCATTGCCGCAAATTGAGCAGCTTGTGGCTGAGGTTGTTGTGGCGCTTGGACGTGTAGAGCCGGAGGTGGTTGCGCGCGCTGAACCGGTGCAGGTGCAGGTGCTGGGTGGGCAAGAATAGGGAACATTGGGTGAGGAGGCTGAGGGTTCGGTTGCGCAAGTTGAGGTATCACCGGTTGGATACGCTGAGGTATAGGTTGTTGTTGTACGTTCTGAGGTGCCGGATACTGAACACGCTGAGGTAAACGACAGACAATGGCGCGACGCTGTACCTGCTGGAGTGCGGGCTGAACATTTGGCTGCCCATTCCGAGGCGGTCCTGGATACGGAGGAGGTTGTGGATTAACCCTGAAGGCTACGTTAGCTGGAGGTCCGAACCGGCCCAGCTGTAGTCGCTCCAAATGGCGCCGCATTTCTCCGGGAGCTATATGGAACCCGGGTAGCGCGCGACCAGCGTTTTGAAGACCCTGCGCCATTCGATTGTTAGTATTTCCTGCAGTTTTGGGTAAATCAATTTCCAACTGTTTCTTGTCTACTTCCGGGTCTTGTTCCTCCACGTCTTTGATGGCTTTATCTCGTGCCTCGGCAACCTATGTTTTGGTATCAGTAACGTTATGCTAGCTGCAGACAAACGGATAACTTGATGGACTTACCTCTCGATCATGACGTTGTTGGACGGAGTCCCACAGAGAGCATTTTTGCCTAGACCCACTCGCTTGATTCCGATTATGTCCAGCAGGCGTCTAATTTAAACCGATTAGAAAAGATACAATGCTAAAACCATTCAAACATACATGGTCGAAATGATCATAGCCTGTTATGACTTGACGACAGGCATAGCAAATAAGTGTACCACAAGTAGGGCAACGCATCTTATTACACTACAATGGCAACAATGTTAATCAATCATTCACGGCAGACAAAGAGGAAGCCCTTACTCCATCTTCCTTGATGAATGCTGGGAGATACTTAGTTAGTAGCATTTTGTCGTGGTAATAATGGGCAGTACTTACCTTTCTTGCATTTTGGACAGTTCCGCATTAGGGCTTCAGCTGCAAATAGATTAGGTCACCCGCCGCAAAAACAATACCATTCGCTCACTCATTGCTTCCTCAACTTTGTGTCTTGCGTCTAGACCCCTGTCTTCGTCGGCCTCTGAGATGGTACGTGTCTTCATTAGATGTGGTCTGGCATATATACTAGTTTTCGTACCTTTGCAGCTCTTCGGAAGATGATCCTAATATAGTCGGATTAGAAAATCGTCATAATGCAGACAGCAACTAAATACCCACGAGTTTCTTGCAAGCACGGCAGCTTAATGCACCGCATTCCTCACGTTCACACTGGAATAGCTTTTCGTCGGGGTTGTCAATGACAACCTTATATTCACAAAATGGACATTCCTCGAGTCCCTCCAGACCTGCGGCTTCGATTTCTTTGGTCTGCTTGATTCGTTCGTACAGCTCAAGAAGTTTCTCGGATAGAAAGCGCTTCAGTTCTGAATCGGCAAAGACGAGCTTGCAGCCGCTTTGATCCATGCATTTAATGTTAATGTCATGCTGGCCGAGCAGATTCTTGGCGTAGGACCTCATGCAGCTCTTGCAGAAGAGATGTGCATCTGGACACTGGATCATTTTGTCCTGAAAAAGAGCATTAGTGCATGTACCCGCGATGACTCCAGTCAAAAAATTCTCACGAATTCGTAAGTTGAAAAACAACAGCCACATTCAATACCATCCTCACATTCTCCGTCATCGTCTTCTTCGGCGTCTTCCTCGGTGTGTTGCGAAGCCTTGTCTTTCGTGCCGCTCAGTGATTGTTGTACCCAGGCAAGTTCGCGATCAAACTCCGCATCGTGTTGCTTGCCCTTTCCGCTCGGTCGCGTGGCTTGTGATTTCAGTCTAAATGGAGGCGGATTCTCTTGAAGTTGACGTTGAAGCGTGAGATACGTCGGAGCATATAGCGAATTGTTAAGATACATGGTCCGTCGAATATGAGGCACCGGAATTCTCGGGAAGTCAATCGTGAGTTGGTTCTAACAACGGGAAGCATCAGCGTTACTCGAATGACAATGTCAACAAGAAGACAGACATGAGCAATTTCACCATAATGTTCTCCACCTTCGAACGGTCTATCTTTAGAGCCAAAGTCCTTCTCTGCAGCTTTGACAGCTCGTTCGTCATTGTCGTCGTCTTCACGCTTTCTCTTGCCCTTCCTCCGGTGAACCTTTGGGTATGGCTGCTCGAACAATACATGCAAGACCTGTGCAACTGGGTTTTCACTACAAGCAGATCGGTACTTGACTAACAACGAGGAAGCGTGATCGGGCTGCACGTCAGGGACGACTTCAAGCACTTGAGCTAGGTCACGTTCCAATGTATCGACTGGCGTAGGAGTGGCCACGACTTCGTCGCTGTCCGAAGCATCAAGAGGAGTTGAGTGAGCCTGTAAATCCTGGCGATCTTGTTCATTTGTCAGATCGGTCAGAGGCGGGTTGGCCTGTTCCTCTTGCTGCGGTTCTAGTTCTGTTTTTTCTTCCAGCGCATCGAGAAGTGCGTCGAGATCAGAAACGTCAGGCGAGACGGCGGCGGAAGACGTAATATCGATTGGTTCCGAATTGATATGGGCTACCTTCTGACGTTTCCGAGGATGAAGGAAGGTGGGAGAGTCATCATCACTGTCGGTTAGTTCAATAACATCTTCGGCGAAGGCACGCGAGCGTGGCTTCGGGCGCCTGGAGGGTCCCGGGCTAGGCTGGCGGGATACTGAACGAGCATGGCGGGCCATGCCAGAGTCGACAGATACGAAAGATGGCCACGATGATGTGTGTGCAAGGAGGAAATGAGGCAGACGACGAGGGGTGTTGTGTGTACAGGAGGAGGACACGGCAGGGCGTACTTAAGAAGGACGCGCCTTAAGTACGTGGCTGTGCAAAAACAGTAGTATCCGACGCGAATTTCTCCTGAATAGGAAATAGATAAAATAAAAACCCATTATCTATCTGCCTCTTTTGGTCTTTCAAATGCATCACTTAAATCATAACCCACTTTTCGCTGTTCTTTGAATCTATGGTATTTCCACTCGTTCACTCATTCGCCACGGGTCCTCATTCGGCCTTTCAAAAGTGAATCCTCCGCCAGTTTCAATTTCACTGCTTCTGATAGCTTTTAGTCAATTACCCATTTTCAGACATTCGCCAGTGGGCTGATGGCGTCTGGCGGGAACGAGGAGATCGTGGTGAGTCTACACCAAGTTTTATCCTTTAACAGTACAATCAATTATTGTTCTATCATTCGAACAAAACACAGATCAAGAGAAAGCGTCGGCGGACTGCAGCCGTTGACCCTTGTCTGGGCTACCACGGACACAGAGTAGCCCATGATGCCATTGCCACACCATCTTTCAGTATCACAACGAATGTCAATTATGGTGGTAATGATGATGACGTTGATGCACGGGAAGAATACACTAAGAAGACAGATCTGAAAGAGACGAGTACGGCATCCTCTGACTCTGTGCCAGCGATTACATCTCCATTCTCCGAGGAAGCAGAGTTTATCACTGTTGAGGACTTCCTTCGTCGCCAAGAAATTCCGAGTACTCGTCGGACTCGGAAAACTTACAGCCGCAAGAGGCGCCGAGTAATTCAATCTTCGTCAGAAAACGAAGAGGAGAGGTGTAATCTCACTAGCAAGTGTGTTGGCGCCAACTTAGGCGCCGTGGGTAATAATCCTAGCCCGACCACATCCCACAAACGATCAAAGACCAACATGAGCATCACTGACAGGAACTCAAAGAAACCATCACGAAAGCAACAAAGGGTCCATACCTCATTTTCCAAACGCATACAGCGAGCTGCCGTTCTGTCTGGGGCTGACCTGGAATTCAATTCCCCACCTACAACGCCTCTCGCATTACGCCTTGTTCCACACGATGTTTGGTACTCTCCTAGATCACCTCCTCGAGATAAACGAGCCAAATTTGTGGATCCTCGGATTCCGCGTCCACTCGACACCTCGTTTGCAAACAAAGAGAATACACCATACGAGACTCGGCCTCGTTTACCTTTGTCTCAGTGGTGCTCGCCCTTCAAGCAGATGAAAGATGTACCACATTCTGTGCTTCCCAAAGGCGCAGAAGCGAATGCAAGTCTTCCCCAGACTCCTCGGTCAACCCTGACGCCTCTCCAGCTCGTATCGTATGCGGAACATAATCAAACTCGTTCTGCTAAGTTTTACCAGTACGTTTCTTTCTCGGTGATCTGTCAGTTTCGTTCCGAAGCTATTTTCTTTAGGATATTATCGATGAGTGGCCGTCCGGTGATCGCTCCGTTGGTCTTGGAAGCACACTGTGATCTACCTTCCCTGACAATGACCAGACTTGGTAACGACAAAGATGATCCCTTCGTGTCACTTCCTCTAGACGAGGGTTCCCAAACAAGAGCTCCCCCGACTCAAATTCATCAAGCATCAATGCAACAAAATGAAGATGACAACTCTAGATCAGTTCTGCATGTGCTTTCTTCCGATGACCTTGAGATTCTCGTACCAGCTACATCTCCATCTCCGTCTCACGCTCCTCCAACCCAGGATTCAGCCCGACCAGGCGAGAAGAACGACGAAAACAATGACCCTCTTCAACCCCTCGAATTGAATTGCGCTTCAAACTCATCTAACGCGCAAGCTCCGGCTCCTTCTGCTAAGGTTCTTCATACTATTACTGGCTCAGACTCTGTTGCCGCTTCTCAGCCACGAAGACCTTTGCGTCGAATTGGTACAATGCTCGAAGGGTTTATGGAAACTGCTCGCAGTGTCCTCTTGTCTCAGTCTCAACCGCAGATGCCCCAAGCTTGCTCTCGCTCTCGAGATCCATCGATTGACCATGACCTTCTTGAAAGGAATATGTCAGTGAAGAAGTCCAAAATTGATAGGACCATGTCTCGGAGTGGGAGAGTAGTCGTTTCGAGTCCGGCTCGCCTTACTAACATCTCCAAGGCGCAATACCAAGGTACAAGCCCAGCTTTGCATCGGTCGACCGCGACAAGCAGAAGAAAGAAAAGGAACAGGAAGGCTACGTCTATGCCATCTGTCTCTGCCTATCTTGGTCATACCATTAAACGATCCCAGCTTGAAACCGAGGATCAACCATCTGTATCGTCGTCAACAAATCCACAACAACATAATGTATATAGTCCTCTTCAAGACCCAACTCACACCATATTCCCCGTTGTGGTCGAAGATCGAGATCGTCCTTCGTTCTTCGATGACTATGACGTCCCAGACTTGTCAGACCTACTTGAAGATGCTGAGCCGCGGAGTCATGCACAAATTATGCTTTCGCCAACTGTATAATTATCCTGTTTCGTTCCTTTTTCGTTCAATCACAGTATTGTGAAAGGCATGGCGTGTATACATATTGTGACTTGTAACTGTATTGGAGTTGAATTGCACGATGTATCTATCTTGATAGAATAACATTACTTTGTATTCTTAAGCCTTATTTCGTTTTGTACTTTCTACATTGTTCTAGCAGGATGGCAATGACAATAATATCACGTTGTCTGTTGACTCGGGTGCCAGTATGGTGGTCAATCCCGACCAGTCCTAAAGTAGAGTATTATCTCAGTAAGGAAAGTCGGCATTCAGTCATGTTTACCACCAATACAATCAACGATACATGCATTATAAACTGCACTTGAAAAAAAAATCTATCTTTTACATTGTACAATTCCCTGAAAGGACAATAATCCAAGATTGAAAAAATGAAAAAGTTAAGTTGAAAAAACCACAGCACCCAGGATTCCCGCGTGGTCCCCCACCGTGGTACTAACTGGGCGGCGCTCCGGTTAACTGCGCAGATCGGACGGGATGCGGTGCTTTCGGAGCCCTATGGCCGTGGATACACTGATTTGAGGAGTACGGGCTATATACCGCCCGTCATCAATTTCTCTTGCTGCTCTTGAATATGTTGCAAGTCGGGTATCTTAGCATTTTACCTAGCAAAAGGACATAAATTATCTGAATACGCATTACCGAATTGTCGTGATGCGGTGGTACATGTGGACTTCTACAGTTCAATATTTAACGACCAGTCTTTGCAAGTGAATGTGATGATGCATCTCATTCCCACTGATAGTTTGATGGCAAATGATAACTACTCGCAAGATTGGGAAAAAACGAACACTTTCAAATGTAATGCGGAGAGCAACAGTATAAATTTATCTGAATATCAAGAGAAGAATGAAATAAAATATAAAGCAATTGATACAAGACGAATAATTCATCTTCCACCGCCAGCCTGCTTCCGCGTCATCGAATGATGTATCCCAAAGATTCTCTGGCATAGCGCGGGACCTGATTGCGCCGTAAACTGTGTCTGGCGACAGTTCCAGTTCTGCGCCTTAATCAGAGTCTGATTCGATCAAGTTCGTTCTAAGCTTGACACGGAGGTCCGTGGACTTCGCAAGTTGTTTTTTATATGAGTCTGGATCATCCTTCGCAAGCTGTTTATAAACATCTATAGCCTCGTTGACAGCCTTGAGTGCCTGTTCTTTTCGACCTGCTGACGACAACCGCCCAGCATACTCGTGCAAAGACGAGGCGAGCTTGCGCTGATACTTCTTCGGATTGTCTCTCGCTAACTGTCTGTACATGCCCACAGCCTCCTTTGCGGGTCCTAGAGCATCCATCCGGCGTCCAACCTTCACGAGCACCGAAGACCGAGTGAGCAATGTATGTGCCAGATCAGGCTTGCGAGCTCGGCCATCACGATCGTAAAGCTTTCTGTGAATTTTGAGAGAACTATTGACGGCTTCGAGAGCATCCCTGTCTCGCCCAAGCTTGGATAACCGTAATGAGAGCATCTCATACGCTCGTCCTAGATTAGGTAGATACTTATTATTCGAATCAGCGAGATCTTGCCATTCCTCAACCGCACAGTTAGCCGCTTTGAGTGCTTCCTCGTGCAGACCAGCAACCGATCGACTGTCAGACAGTTTATTGAGAGACTTCGCGAATTTCAGCTTGTACTTGTCCGGTTCATGCTGTTCGAGCTTGTACCAAAGGTCCGTGGCTCGTAATATTGCTTTTACTGCTTCTTCATCGCGATGGAGTTCGGATAGTCTGTCGTGTAGAACAGTTGAAGCAGTTGCCAGGAGAGCAGTATGGGGATTCGGTTCGTCATCATCATTACTTTCTTCGCTTCCCTCCTCGTCGGAATCCTCTTCCCCCTCTTCCTCCTCTTCCTCCTCCTCCTCCTCCTCCTCCTCCTCCTCCTCGTCGTCGCTCTGATTATCGTCATCGTCAATTTGTCTGACAGTACCAGTGCCATCATCTTGTACAAGCCATTCGCTGAGATCAACGGCCTGTTCAGCAGCCTCTAGAGCCTTCTCACGATATTTTTGATCGGCCAGACTGTCGGAGTACCAAAACAAGTCCTTAATTATTCCCGTAGCATGCTTCTCCAAATCCTTCTCGGATATCTCCCGCCTTAGATTCACGTGACGAATCTGAACGTCAAGTGCCTCTCGATACTTGCGATTTTTCGCCAAGGCTGTTGCCAGGCGTCCAAGCTCGTCTGCAAGGTAAGGATTGTGCTTCCCCGGGTCCTGTTTCACAAGTTCTTCTTGAATGTTAACAACTTCCCGACAAACGCCTAATGCAGCGTGAAATCGATAGAGCTTTGATAAAAGAATAGAATATCTCGAGAGAACCATCGCCAGATCGAACACGTATTTCTTGCGATTGCTTTGCACTAGGTCTCGCATAATGTCGATAGCCTCCTCAATCGGTTCAATAGCATCTTTGTAACGACGAATTTTCGATAACTCCATGGACATAGTCTTCAGCGCCGAAGCAAGTTGCGATTTATACATCCTCGGGTCTTTATCCGCTAGTTGTCTGTAAGCTGCAACAGCCTTCTCGGATCGCTCCACAGCCTCGTATGGTCGTCCAAAATTCCATATCCTCCTCGCAAAGGTGCGTAAATTCGATGCTAATGGCGAACTAGCGGAAGCGGGAACTTCGTCCAGCATTTGTTGAGTGAGCGACGCGCACAGTTCGGAAAGCTGGCGTGCTTCGGGAAGCATCTTGAATTTTCGCTCGAGGGTGGCTGATAAATTGTTGGCCTTTGATATCCATTTCTTGACGGGTGTGCGTGAGTCTGGGTCACGGATATCGCGGAGTAATTTCAGAGTCTGCTGCACTGCTTCATCCTTCGTCACGGGTGGTTCTTCTGTGTTCTTTCTCGCTTTCGCGTGACGTTCATCCTCCCGCTTTTGAGAGACACCGCTGGGAGAAATCGTGGCGACCTCGGATGTGAGTTGATACTGGCCTTCAGAGCCGTCCTCATCGTCAGAATCATTCTCCTGGGGCTATGTCTGCAGCTGTTACGAGCTTCGATAAAACACATATTACGCACAGTTTTCTCGTTCTGTGGTTTGTCCTGGAAAGGCTTTTTGAAAGCACCTGTAGGAGAACTCCGCGTCTTGTCCGAATCGATTTTTTTCTCGCTTTCATCCTCCTAGGAACACACAATCAGCCATTGCAAGGTCTGCCAAGAATGCCTCACTTACAGAAGTGTCGCTTACCGAAGTATCACCGTGCGGTTCTTCGTTTAGAGAGAGCCTAGAGACATCTGGCGTTAGATGCCCAATGTCTCCCAGACCTTCCTCTTCGCTAACCTCATTCTCCTATGATAGCGTAGTTAGAACTGGGTAAACCTGGGACTGCCTGTGAAGTACCGAAGGTTCGTCATGTTCCCAATTCTTTGTTCCATCGCGATGTCTAACTTCACCATCGAGCCGATTGAAGCCTTTCCCAGAATCCTCGGGCTCTTCTTGCAAGTCATCGCCGCTGCCCTCAGCTCCCTCGTTCTGCATTTGTATCTGAACTTCCTCTTGAGCTAGCTCGAACTTCCGACCTCGATCATCGCTTTGGCTTCTCAACGATTCCTCGAGCTTAGCTGCAGTGCTCTGAAACTGTAGCTGGAGATCTCTGATTTCTTTTCGGGATTTGATTTGATTTATCCTCTACCAATTTACTGAGATACGATAATAATAATTGTAAATTACTGGTGAACATACCTCAAACTTCCTCTGCGCCAACTCTGCCTTCTTCTGGATCTCAATGAGTTTCTCCTCTATATCCTCGACATTGATCCTTGTATCGATGAAATAGCTGACTTTTCCGCGAAAACCTGGCTTTTCTTGAAATATCTTCTTGCATTTGTGCAATAGATTCCGGAGATCGCTGACACAAGCTCAGGCTGGGCAAGGAATAGTCGATAAGGAATGGGACATACCTTTGATAAGCGGCAATTTCTTGGTCCAACTCCGGCATTGTGTTGCCAATGTCGCAGTTCTTTCGAACATCTTCGAGCTGCTGTATATCATCAACAAGTCGGCGGGATACCTCCCTGAGTGTTTTCCTGTTTTTCGAGTGCTGCGTCGAGGAAATATGCGAGTTCAATTTTGTGCCATAACCAGCATTGAGCGCGAGACCCGTACTTTCTCAATGAGACCATGGATGTGCTTTGCCAGCTCAAGGGCTGACATTGCAACGTCCATTTTGGCAGTTTACTCCGCTGAATGATCCCAAGATATCGTTCTGTCTTGAAAATGAAGTTGCTCGTGGCACGACTGTCAAAACAAAACAAAACAAGTAGTTTGTTGATCAAACAGTCGCGATATAGGTATTATAATGCGTCCTATGCGTGAATGGTGCAGGATGCAGAGAGCCTGTAATACTCAAAAATTGACGATTGAGAGCAACGTCGCACACGTCGCAGGCGAGGACAGACGTATAGATATCTAGCAGAGATCGACAACCCCTGTCCTCTATATATTTGTGCCCGCGTATGTATTCCATATGAACAAAAGCGTCGCATGCTGCCCGAAACAGATGAACATCAGCATCAAGCACCCTGCTTGATCTGTATTCAGAAGTATGATGCAATCTAATAATCTATAGGGCCAACGACCATCTTTCACACTATTTAGCGGAGGTCGGCCTCACCGGCCAAACGGTGATATGTTTTGCCATAGATGAAAACCTGTATTTCGTAACATGGCAATTCTGTTGCAAATGCCTCTCAGCGTCTATATAAACTTATAACAGCTTAGCAGATACAAAGATAGATACTAGAGCACTTACCTAGCCTAGAGCTTCGCTTGTTCAATGTCAGGATTGAAAGACTCAGCCAGAAAAGAGAAGAACAAAAGGCTGATCCATCATCCAGATTCATCCTTCCCAGACAGAAGCCAAATAATTATGTAATCCGCCAAATGGATGCAAATGATATGGAATTGTGAAATTGTGTTGACCAACGAGAAACCTGGAAGCAGAAAAACGCATCTATTCCACTAAATCACTAAGGAACCAAAAGAAAAGAACAATGTAAATAATGATACATCCAAGTACAATTTCCTGTGTGATATACAACTATCTTCTTCCGTTGCAATGGAATCATAGCAGAAAAGCATAGCAAAACAAAACAAAACAAAACAGAACAAACAACATCTCTGTCGTAAACAACACAATTCCTCAAAATACTGATTAAACGTGGTATCACAAATCCGAATCCAATCTTCGATAAAGTCTATACCTGCGCAGTACCTTTTTGTACTCTTTCTTTGATATCATTGACGTGAGGTGTCCGATGTGATGTCGTGCAATAGATGAGAGGACGTTGACTGCTCTCCGACCCTACACCAGATGTTATTTTCTACAACGAAAATAAGGCGAGAAAGAGTTGACATACCTCATCATAAACACCCTTGATTCCATCCCTACTCACATTAATCAATCAGCGTTCCCACGAAAGGTCAAAGGAAAAAAAGTCAGGTAAGCAAACGAACTTACCTAGCAACAATCCCTCCACCCTCAGCTAACATAGCAAACCTAGCCTGCTCATCTCCAAGTCCTTGAGTATGCACACATACAGCGCCTACACCACCATCCGAGTTAGTACCTTCACCACCACCATTCGACGGTGTCGAATTCGTACCCGCTCCATTTCCTCCTTCTCCACTTCCACCCCCGCCTACACCTGATCCACCATCGGGTATGTCTTGCCCGTTCTTCGCGAGTGCGCTTTTGATCTTCTTGTCGTATCGATTGTTCTCTGCATGCAAAAAATTAATTTAATTCAAAAATAAATAAATAAAATTAATAGTCAGCGGTTTAGGTGAAAAGTGAAAGATGGGATAAGGCAGGACAGCAAGGACGAACCATATGCATCACTCGCATCCCACAACATCACTCCACCAAACGTCGTATAATTCCCTTGTGCCGCAAGCGCGTACTTTTCTAGCGTATCGATGTCTACGTATCCCTGATGTGCTGCCGTCGCAGACCCAGGTGCACCGATGTAGATCTTGACATCTGGATTGGGAGACTGCGTTCGTGCCCACTCGTCCCATAACCCGAAGTCAAATTGCTAGAGATGAATTTTGAACACAACCACCAAAAGTGTGAAGATTTGGATGAGTGGCAGTACAAGACATACCTCAGGATAATTTAATCCGCAATAATTATTATCTACACACATTTCGTATTTAGGTCTGAGGAAAGATGATACAACCGGTACAGACTCACAGAACTGGACATAGATAGCGTCAAATCGAGACTGGTTAATAGCAGGACCGGTATATGCGTCAGGGAAGGGACATTGCGGTGCTGCAGTGTAATAATATCTATTGAACAAGAGGTAAGCCAATATTGACAACGTACAAATGAGACCCAGAGCTTACGTCTTCTCAGCTTTATCCGTATACGACTGTAACTTATCCACGAAGTTGTTGTAATACGTTGGTAATCCGCCTTCAATATCCAAATCAACACTAGATTTTCATAGATTGAAGTTAAAATCGAGCAAAACTTAAGCAGATATGAGCACATAATGGTACCCACCCATCAAGCACAGCACTCCCAAATGGCCTCATATCCGAACTTCCACCCAAAAAGCTATTCCAAATCGTCGTCGCAAAGTCCTCTGCCTGACCCTCACTCGTGAATCCAACAGAACTAGCCGCGCCACCAAGCGAGAGCGTGACGATCTTCCCTTTGGATTGGCACTCTTCAATGTCGGGAGCCAAAAAGGTACAATTGGATAGTGCTGTTCCTGGGAAGGTACCATTGCCTTCGTTGCATGTCTAATTAGGTGTTACGAGATGTCGGTTAGAAGACGAGATGTGAAGTGTAGGATGTGATAATACGTACATGTGCGAAGCTCATCATAGGTTCTCCACCCGTCCCGAAGAATACGTAGAGGAACGCAAGCGGTATGGCATTGTACACGTCGTCCTGACAATAAAACGAAAGTCTTTGCTGGTCGCCACCCGAGTTCTGTCCCCAGTATCTACACGTCCCAGGTAACCGTTCAGTATACTCATCCGTCGGTGAGCAGACTACACTTACACAGCAAGCTAAGAGCAAGCATTCTGTAAGTTCAATATGTCATAAGACACAGGAGTAGCGACACGTACATTGTCATTCCGCTTGTTGTCAAATCCCCCTGCCTCAACCACATCCAAAAGCAAAGCACATAACCCGAGGACAATCCATCCTTTCCATAGGCCTGCTCCCATTCTCCTCTTCTTCACCAGAAGGCTAGCAGCAACGGACACGGTTGTTGAAGAAAGAGGAACTAAGTTGAAAAGAACCTCGGTCCCACGGGAGAAGGTTGCCGTCTGGAACCGATTCTAGAAAAAAAAGGCAGAAACGGCGGCGGCTGTGCAGTACCGGTGCCTGCGGAAGGAACGATCCAAAAGGCAAGAAAGATACAAAAAATAGAATAGAGTGGAATAGATCCGTGTCAACGTGGTCGAGGTCGTCCGGTTCTCAGATGCAATGCAATATCCGTCAATGATCCAGGCCGACAGATAGATGGCAGCATAGAAAGACAAACGGGGCGGGGTATCAAGTTTCAGCGGAACATTGCAAAGGGCACAGAGGTGTGTTGTCTTTATATCTTCCGTTGGTCATGTCCATGCTTCACGCTTCACGAATCATACGATTCATGTCGATTTCCACGACACGCATACACGTTACACAGGTTGCTTCCCCTGGAAATATCGAATGCCCGAAGCCACATGTCTTTTGTCTTTGCAGCACAGAACAACACGTTGTCGGCGAGTCGATCAAGTCAAATCAAGTCTAGAAGCGATTCCGGTTACTGGAAAGGAGAAGACTAACAAGGCTAGGCACCCAACGAAATTGCCTGGCAGAGGACACGAGGCTCCCTGACAGGTGATCTCGGAAGGTGCACGTGCGGAGTTAGATCGCCTTCGTGAGCTCGAAATAATTACTTCCGGTACACTTCACAGCTTTTGCGAATACTACAGCAATTCAGAACCCTTCGGACAAAAGGAATAGCTTCAAAACATCACATGAACTCATACAAGCAGAATTAATTATACACTAATTATACACAGGTATCGTCATCTGGAACCAGGTTCCTCAAACTGAAGTGGAATTTTGCGCTATCCGATTCAGAATACGCAATCCTTCACGGAACACGGATCAAGCATTACGAGAGACTCGACGTCCCATTCCGCTTCAGAGCTATCCCGCAAAATTCCAGTCAGCAGGCCACTCTTTGATTTTGTGAGTTTAAAAAGTATCGGACTTACTGTCAAACGGAATGTTAGGCCTGATAGCTTGAGCCCAAACGGTATTAAATCCCCATAAGGAGACAAACTCAGCATAAAGGCAATTATATGTACCTGGAAAGAAGAGTCACTTTGGTCCACTCATATCATTCACCTGTCCCGGTTCGAGACTCCCCGTATCAGCTCCACAGCAAGGTGAATTTGTACCCCACACTATCATACCATAATAATGTTAACACCAATTCATAAACATGAATACGGGAATTCATGCATTTCCGAGGGTGAAGAAGTACGTCAGCATCATCGGATATTAAACAAGAACATCGATTTGAAGGCCGAAGAGACACTCATGTGGACCAGCAGCCCATGCAGCCCATCCGATGTACACGTCATTCGCCTCAAGGAAGGTGAGCAAGTCGGTTATGAACTATATAAAACCGCCGAAAATCAAAAGCAATTAAATCAATTCCTGGTTGGCTTTATTTCGCCCTAAGGGGTACACACGTCAAAGCAGTTCTGGTTGTCAGCACCACCGAATTCGCTGATGATGGCCCTGCAAAATAATCGTTGAGTTTTTCAGAAATCCACTACATCCAACAAAGGGGTCGTGGAGATGTATGTGAGATTGTTCTCCTGGAGCCAAATCGTCAAAGCGGCCAAGTTCTCCGGAACTACAAGGTTCCACATTAGCTACATATACAAAGCAATAAGCATGGGATGAGGACCCACCTGGCTGCATGCAAGTATCGTGCGATCCCAAGAAGTCCTCATCTGAACCAAGACACATCAACATCAACATACTATCTCCTTCATACACTATTTTCATGCACACCAAGATACTACACATCCCATCCATTAGTCGCACAATTTGCATACTATCCTGACGGATGAATTGAATACAAACTCACCTCATGAATATCAATAGTAGAGCTTGGTACCGTACCGTATACGGATACGGGCCGTATAATACGACCCTTATATGGATACGGCTCATATAATACGGTGCTGTATTTCTGAACCCGAAAACCTATACAGATACGGTACGGCCATATACAGATACAGTGTAGTTGCTACATTTACCAAGGTGTAGCATGAAATGTAAGGGGCTACATCATTGTGATATTACCTCTTTAGTATAGAAATATTGAATTCTACCTATATTATGCCTTAATCTACATGAAATGTATAAAATTTGACTTATTGACATTTTGTTATGTAATTTAGTCTGTGATATTTGTCATAAAGTCGAGTCATGTGATGTACCTATATATCAGAATATATATCAGGTTGCACATACTTTTACAATAATAGTGCTGAATATATTAGTAAATGCTAGTATAAGTGTCTGAAAATTGAATACTACTTATTAGAGCTTCAGTATTATGTTTAGAGCAAGAGTTTCTTTCATTTAGTAGTTGTATATTGTATACAGGCATATACGGTCTGTATTATACAGACTATATACAGTTACGGCCCATAAAATACGTGCCGTATTTTTGAGTCAAATTTTTTATACGGATACGGTACAGCACTGTATACGAAAATGCTGTATCTGTATAATACGGTACGGGACCGAGCCCTAATCAATAGTAGTATTATTCAACAGGCGATCTAGGCCGACAGATAGACAACATAGGAAGACAAACAGAGGGAGAATAATCAAGTTATAGCAGATTGCAAAGGGCACAGAGGTGTGTCGTCTTTATATTTTCCATAGATCATGCATACGAATCAAACGATGCATGTTCATCTCCACGATACACAAACACATTATACGGGTTACTTCCCCTGGAGATATCGAGTGTCCGAAGCCACATGTCTTTGTCTTTTCAAAACAGAAACACGTTGTCGGCCAGTCGATCAAGTCAAATCAAGTCCAGAAGCAGGTACATTTACTAGAAGTAGTAGACTGATGAGGCTCGGCACCCAACTCGATGGGCTGGAGGAAGACACGAGTGATCCAGAGCGGCACGTGCGGCGTTAGATCGCCTTCGTGTACTCACTGCTCACTACAGTGACTAGACTACACTTTCACTTTCACTGCAAATAAAAATAAATCCGGTGAACTTCACAGCTTTTATGAACACTACAGTAATCCAGAACACTTTGGACAAAGAGAAGAAAAAAACACCCTAGGTTACACTCCGATCTCCACGATGCGTACGAGCAACTTCAAGAAACAGTTTGACTTCATATTTGTGCGAATGCTTGGACCCGAGCATACGATAAGCACAACTCAAGACCGAAGTATTGGCTGAACTGGTTGACAATTTATGCCAATATCCTGATTCTGTGCACCACACGTATCAGCTACGAATCCTATCTATCCCACACAGAGACTACAATACATACCGGAACAACGAGAGAGCAGCATAGCGTGTCTTCCGAGCAACCGAGACCTAACAACTAATATCGTAGATATGAACTGGTGAGCAACATAATCCTTGTCTAATGATTCAAAGTTCAACACGCATGAACTTACGGTGGGCTGACAATCAAATGCTACGACAGTGCTTAGACCGGGCAGCGGGATACCTAGATCGGAAAGGATGGGTCCAATTAGGCCGGAAACAACGGAAAACTACATTATCCATGCCCTCAATATATGTGCAGAACAATGTTGGAATAGGGTTTATGATACGTTACATACCAGCTCGACCTCTTGGCAGCACTGAACTGGCTCTAGCATTAACGTGCATTGTAAGGCTGAAATACCCGATTGTCGAGGAGCCAAATTCTGTGTAGCCGTACTGTCCGAACGAGAAAGGACGACAGCAGACGCAGATACGGCCGTGACAGCAGCAAGGAGCGAAAATGGGAGAGCAGTCATAATGCGCATTATTTTTTCTACAGGGTATTGGTAGTAGTGCACTTACACTGCAGAGTCGCTACTGATCAACTAATCTGACTTTATACCTGTTGACAACGCATGAGGTACAGGTTCATGTTATCGACATCGCGGAATCACACGAAGGTCCCTGCGAGTGAAGATTCATCCACACAAGGAGAAACTGTTCCAACGTTAGGATGATCACGAGGTACTAAAGCTTTTATGGAGCCTTCGATATGACAGGACGTTGATCATAACTCGTCTCATTTCAGTAAGCCCAGCCTATTTTGCAATATCGGCCTCTCAGGTAACCAGATGTAGCCGGTTAAGTTCGAAGTCGTTGGAAACTTCAGTGCATTGCTTACATCAATCAGATCAGATCTAATCATGGTGCGAATCACTGACTATTATATTTGTCAGAGGATTCCAGGAACTGTAGGGTATGGAAGCCAAAGGAGAAATTACAAAAACAAGCTCGTACAAACATCATTAATTATACACAGGTATCGTCGTCTGGGACCAGACTCACTAAACGGAAGACAAATTTTGCACTATCGAAATACGCAATCCTTCACAGAACACGGATCAAGAATTACGAGAGACTCGACGTCCCGTTCCGTTTCAAAGCTATCCAACAAAAATTCCAGTCAGCAGGCCATCCTTTGATCTGGTAAGTTTAAAAAGGATCGGACTTACTGTCTAACGGAATGTTCGGCCTGATAGCTCGGGCCCAAACAGGATCGAAATCACTATAATCCACACGGTCAGCAAAGAACAATAGTATGAACTGGAAAGAAGACTCACTTTGGTCCACCCATATCGTTCACCTGTCCCGGTTCGAGACTCCCCGTATCAGCTCCACAGCAAGGTGAGTTTGTACCCCATACCATCGTGTCACAGTCTTATTAACACCGAATCATTAACACCAGTTCAGGTGCATGAATTCCGGACGTTCATTTCCGAGGGACAAAAAGTGATGAATTACGTCAGCATCATCGGATATTAAACGTCCCGCGTGCACCAGGCACTCCATCCAATGTACACGTCATTCACTTCAAGGAAGGTCGATTCCTAGTTGGCTTTATTTCGTCCTAAGGGGTACTTAAAAGAACACGAGGCTCGTTGACACCATTGAGATCAAGTGGTGGTTGAGCATTATTGGTGCACGTGCGGCATAAGAACGTCTTCGTGTGCCCATCACTTACAATTCACTAGAACTACAAAAATAATTCCGGTAAACTGCACAGTTTCTGTGAACATTACAGTAACCCAGAACACTGCGGACAAGGAGAAGAAAACCTCCTTAGGTTACGATCGGATCTCCACGGTGCGTATGAGCAAGAAACATTTTGACCTCCTATTTGTGCGTATGCTTGGACCCGAGCATACGAAAAGCACAGCTCAAGACCGAAGTATTGGCTGGACGGGTTGACAATCTATGCCAATATCCTGATTCTGTGCACCACACATATCAGCTACGAATCCTGTCTGTCCTCCACAGAGACCACAATACATACTGGAACAACGAAAGAGCAGCATAGCGTGTCTTCCGAGCAATCCAAACCGTCCAACTAATATTGTAGATGTGAACTGGTGAGCAACACAATCCCTGTCTAATGATTCAAAGTTCAATACGCATAAACTTACTGTGGGCTGACAATCAAATGCTACAACAGAGCTTAGGCCAGGCAGCGGGAAGCCTAGATCGGAAAGGATGGGTCCAATCGTATTGGAAACCTCGGAAAACTACATTATCCATGCCCTCAATATATGTGCAGAACGAGGTTAGGATGATGTTTATGATGCGTTACACACCGGCTCGACCTCCTGGCAGCACTGTTCTGGCTGTAGCATTAACGCACATTGTAAGGGTGAAATACCCGATTGTCGAGGAGCCAAATTCTGTGTAGCTGTGCTGTCCGAACGAGAAAGGACGACAGCAGACGCAGATACGGCCGTTACAGCAACAAGAAGCAAAAATGGGAGGGTGGTCATTATGTGCATTGTTTTTCCTACAGGGTATTGGATATGAGCTTTGGATATTTGACGCCTGAAAGTAGTAGGCAGTAGTGCACTAACACCGCGGGGTCACTACTGGTCGACTTAACCTATCTTACTTTATACCTATCGACAACGCATGAGGTACAGGTCCAGGTTATCGACATCGCGGAATCACACGAAGGTCTTTGCGAGTGAAAATCCATCCACACAAGGAGAAACTGTTCCAATGTTAGGATGATCACGAGGTACTGGAGCTTTCATGGAGCCTTCGATATGACGGGACGTTGATCATAACTCGTCTCATTTCAGTAAACCCAGCCTATTTTTCAATATCGGCCTCTCAGGTAACCAGACGTAGCCGGTTAAGTTCGTCGTCATTAGAAACTTCAGTGCATTGGTTACATCAATCAGATCTAATCATGATGCAAATCACTGATTATAATAGTTTTCAGTGGATTCCAGGAACTGTAGGGTATGGAAGCCAAAGGAGAAACTACAAAAACATCACATAAACTCATACAAACATCATTAATTATACACAGGTATCGTCATCTGGGACCAAACTCTTCAAACGGAAGGCAAATTTTGCACTATCAAAAATTCAAAATACGCAATCCTTCACAGAACACGGATCAGGAATTACGAGAGACCCGACGTCCCGTTCCGCTTCAAAGCTATCCCGCAAAATACCAGTCAGCAAGCCACTCTTTGACCTTGTAAGTTTAAAAAGGATCGGACTTACTGTCTAACGGAATGTTCGGCCTAATAGCTTGAGCCCAAACAGTATCGAAACCACTTTAATTCACACAGTCAGTAAAGAACAATGATATGATATGCACTTGCAAAGAAGACTCACTTTGGTCTGCCCATATCATTCACCTGTCCCGGTTCGAGACTCCCTGTATCAGCTCCACAGCAAGGTGAGCTCGTACCCCACACTATCGTGCCACAGTGATATTAACACCGGGTCATTGTCACCAGTTCAAGCGCATGAATCCAGTATTCATTTCCGAGGGGTGGAGAAGTACGTCAGCACAATCGGATATTAACCGAGAACATCGATGGAAAGATGGAAAGGTCAAAATGCGAAGACTGAGAAGAGACACTCACGTGGACCAGCAGCCCATGCACTCCATCCGATGTACACGTCATTTGCCTCGAGGAACGTGAGCATGTCGGTTATGAACTGCATAAATCACCGGAATAAAAGTCAATAAATTAATTTTCTCTTAGCAACTAAGCGAAGAAAAAGGTGGGTCGTTTCTTTGCCTCCTGAGCTACTTACGTCGAAGCAGTTCTGGTTGTTAGCACCTCCGAATTCACTTATAACGGCCCTGTAACCAAATCGTTGGGTTACGTTGAAACTGACTGTATCAGGAGAAAAGGGTGGAGAGACGCACTTGAGGTTGTTCTCCTGCAGCCAGGTGGTCAAGGCGGCCAAGTTCTCTGGGCCTATGAATACCCTCATCAGCTACGCATCCAAGAGAATTAACAGGGAAGCTCAAATAATTTACCTGGTTGCGTGCAATTATCATGCGATCCCGAAAAGTCCTCATCTAAACCCCAGATACATCAATCATATCACTTGCCTTCACAAAACATTGACTTGCGCACCAAGATACTAAAAAAAGGCATTTATCAGCCATCCGATCATCCATACCACTCTAACGAATAAACCGAAATAAAGACTAACCTCATGAATATCGATAGCGGTATTATTCAACGGATCCACCATCATATTCATAAAATCACTCGAGGGGGCGTCACCAGCAGCACCAGTAGTCTGCGTCCACGAATGTCCACCAGTAAATCCGTTTCCTGGTGCAAGGATCAACTGCTGTGCGCCGGTGGAGCGGATCCCGTCGATGGCGGCTTGGTTGTTTTGTAGGATCAATTGCGTGGGCTACAATCGAAGCATGCAACGCGTAAGGATTAGTGTGGAAGATATGATGAGGTGAGGAAGGAAGGGAGGGAGTTAACGGACCATGTCGTGAGGTTCGTTGTTAATCCCGAACACAACGAACGGGTTATCGACGAACCGATTTGCGAGCTCTGTCCAGAACTCCCCGAATTGTTCGGTCGTTGCGGCAGTTGGATCGCTCGTATTTCCAATTACCTATCCAATTATAGGTCAAATCCAAACATTCGAGAAGAATACACAGTACTAGTGTGCTGAATGCTAGACTTACGCTTCCAGTGTTTGGCTGCTGGGAAGGGTCACTTACAATCAAGTAAATACCGTCAGTCCAAGCGTCGTGGTGAAGAGATGATGCAAAAAAATAAACGCACTTGTAGCGCATATAATTATGCGGGTCGATCAATGCAAATGCTCCTTTACCCGTAATATGATTCACCGCATCTGCATACTCGCTGAAATACTAAACCATCACCGATCCACATTCAGTCCTTCAGTAAGCCTCATGTATGCGGAGAAACTAGGGGGAGGAGGGGAACAGAACTAACCGTTTCGTTGAACGTACTCCCAAGGCCTGTCTCAACTGGACACATACGTTCCTTCAAAAAGTACCTTCTCAGCATATACCCAGCAATATGTGCACGAAACTGATGAGAACTTACCATGAGGAACGTAACACGGAAGAAGTTGATCTTCTCTTGGTCGATGAAGGTATCCACCGTAGTCTACGCATAACAACCACAAGCATTACGGCGCATTGTAGTAAATAGTTTTGCCGTAATAAGGCAATAAAGACATTAGTGTACGCACCTCGTTGATGAACGCAAAGTCAACACCGAACCGACCGGGAAGACCAGTACCTTTCGTCGCGTTCGCAGAGAACACGCCGAATTCGCCTCCAGACTATTATTTACCATTTCGCGTTTAAATATTAAAAAAAGTCAATTTCAAGTTAGCAAAGCAACAATAATCAGGGATGAAGGAGGGGTAGGACGCACCTCATTAACACCAGCATACAAGATCTTCGCATACGCAAGCGAGACCAAAGGCAACAAGACGCTCAAAGCAGAACGCCAATACGCTATAACGTTGAAGCTCATCATTTTCAAGAATCAAGACCTCGAGATTACCAGAGCAGGAGCGAGTCAGTTCGTCAACAAGTAGCCCCTTCCCTCCTTATATACGCACCTACCCTCCCACAACGACGACAACAAATCCCGTAAATGACGGAGACATTGGAGGCATTAGTACTGGCTTCCCAATATCCGTTTCTCCGCATCACTACAGCCGAGTGCCTCGCTCCATAGTACTTCCAAGACTATACTTACTTTCCCCGCAAAAACCGCCTCTTCCTAATGTTCGATACACGCGCCATCGGTAGAAATTCGGTGATAAATCATCCCTTCTTCATCCCTTCTCCCTCTCGCCCGACTCGCCCGATTCTTGAGTGCATGCTAAAGAGAGCAATGCGGGAGACACGCTCGTGGAATATCCACACAATTTTCTTTAATTATAGATCATCCTCTTACCAAAGGTGGTGTAGGGAAGAATGAAGGAAATGATCCCGGTGAACGTGACACTTGATGACAGGTCGTAGCAACGTTTTCCGTGTCTTCTCGAAGCCAGATTTCATAAAGTCATAAGTCTCATAAAGAGCTGGTGACCACTGGCAATTGAGGCGCCTATGTCATGAATAGATCAGCTTTGTAGAAGTCTATAAATATGGAATTAGTAACCGCGTGTTGACGTGGACGAACTACCGAGGAACATGCAGCGTATCCAAAAAGACCCAATGTTCCTCAATTCCTCAGTACTTCGAAGTTTTGGAGAAGACGCGCATGCAGACTCGAACGCTCTCTAGAAGAACTAGGGAACAAAGAAGTAAAGCACAATCGTCGGATAAAAAAATTCCGTAGAGTAGAGAATAGAATAGAGATATTCATCATGCGGTCTAGTTGAAAAATACAAGAGCTTTCAAACAACAACAACAACAACAACAACAACAGTAGTGCAGTGAAGATTGTATTGGATACAGTGTAGTGAATGAGCTTTTTTTTTGTTCATCGTCACGATCGTTGGGCTCTAGACGCACGCACGGTATCGTCTCCTCTCTCCTCTCTCCCCTTAAGCACGCCTGCCCCTCTAGGTAGCCAGCTCATACAAATCACCCTTCCCAATAGATCCAGCATGAAGAAGAAATTCCGAAATCGATAGCGAAAATGCGCGGAGACACATTATAGGAATAGCCTTGACGAACCCAGATACGAGTTGAAGTGAAGGGATTATACGGAAAGTTTTTTTTAGATGTCATCGATGTCGAGTTCCTCGTCCTCGCCATCACCACCAAACTCGAATCCGCACTCCTCGTCAGCTCCGTCTTCGCCACCTGTCGTTTCGTTGATCTTGGCGTTTTCGGGGAGCTCGCCGTATGCTTTCACTTTTTTTTTGGTGCATAGATGCAGTGTGAGAAAAAACAATTCGTGCAAATAAAGACTGTGACGGGAAATAGTGGACGTACGACTTCGAGCTTCGTCTGCGGTGTATTTCACGATGACATCCGCCTTGTTGTCCTGGAATTCACGAAGCGACAGCAAGATGATATCGCCCTGGTTGATCCAGACCTGCAAAGACGCCAGTGACGTTGAGAAACGCCACACAAGAACACCAGTAGCAGCATATAGCTAACATACCTTCTTCCTCATCTTACCACGAATGTGCGCAAGTCGTTTTTCACCATCAAAGCACTGCGCCTCAAGACGCCCATTGCCCAACATCTTGGTCACCTGCGCATATTCTTGACCGTCCTCCTTGAAGACGAGCTCGCGCTTGTCATCGTCGTTCTCGTTCTTTCCTCTCCTGCGGTTCTTACCACCCTGCATTCCACGTATTATAGTTAGTAATCCATGGATGAGATGAAGGCGTGTATGAGGGTCGCCATACCTTTCCCTTATTCTGCGAATGGAATCGATCAGTCCTGGCTGATCAAAAAATTTTGGTACGAATGAAACATACCTTCGGCATGAGTTATGTAGATAGCCTGTAAGTTGTGATTGCTCCTTGAGATGCTCTGGTAAGAGTCTTGGTGAGTCTTATATAGGAGGTGGTAGAGTGGGTGAAGGTAGAGGCGACGTAGGGAGAAGGATGAGTCGACGGACGAAAGCAGGCATCACAGCATCAGTGCCACGGTACCGTAAACCGAACATCACGGCATCTGCCGAACGCTGCCAGTGACCTCATTGGATCAGTTTCGATCCGTCATGCTTGGATACCTTGCTCTTCACTCCCCTCTGACAACCAACATGTCAGGCTGACTTGGGCTCTCATTGCGACTCCTACTAGAAAATAGAAAAATCACTCTTATATTACAGCCACAGTAAATAACTGTCCTTGAACACTATGTTGGCTACTCGGACGTCTCCAAGGCAATTACTGGCTTTCTTCGTTCTTGGTTTCTTCGTCACTTTCGTTCTATTTCTTGGGATCTCGAATGAAGCTGCAGACTATGCGAGACGATTAGAGGCATCGCTTCGAACGTCTGGATCCTCTTCAAAAGGTACACTTCGTCTGGTACAGCGGTTGAAGTACCCATTCATTAACGTGCGGAGTTAAGAGAAACCGGACTTAGACCAGTATGTTTTCAAGAGGACGCTTAGCGACAAAGAGCTAGATTTTGGTATGTAGGCAATTAGTTAATATTCTGGCTTCAAGGCTGATGCTTGTGTTATAGACGATGCGGATCGGAGGATAATTTTCATCGGGGACATTCACGGAATGAAAGAATCTCTCGAGTAAGTTTACTCCGCAGCTAATTCGCACGGCACTCTAAACATTTATCTTCCAGTAAACTACTCAACAAGGCCCACTACAATATACAAACCGACCATATCATACACGCTGGCGACATAGTAGCCAAAGGTCCCCACGACGGTTCACTCGACGTTTTAACATACATGACAAAGCATAATATAACAGGCGTACGCGGGAACCACGACCAAATGGTAATCGGGTGGCGAGCATGGATAGAAGAAGTCCTTTCCCACCCGGGAGGTGCGAAATGGCTTAAGGACCTAGAAAGGAAGAGCAAGAGGGAACGAAAGGCGTATATCAAGGCCCTTCGAAAGGCGGTAGAAAGGGGTAAGGAAGAACAATGGAAGCGGATTCCAGAAGATTGGGAATTCATGAGCGACCACTACACAATCGCACGCTCAATGTCTCCAGACCAAGCAACCTACCTCCGTTCCCTCCCTCTCGTCCTACACATCCCACATCTCCACGCATTCGTCCTTCACGCCGGTCTTCTCCCTCTCGACCCACGCCGAAGTCCTACTTCCGATCGACAGCCGCTCGCGCATGTGCCCGAGGATAATTCAGATTCAGAGAATGACGAGGAGCAGCGACTTCGAAAGAAGCAAGAGGAAGCTGTTCTTAGTGATATACCACAGAACCGTGATCCGTGGAACATTCTTAATATACGAAGTATCTTGAAGGATAATACGATTACTAAGTACGTCTTTAACTTACCCCTATCTCTCTAGTTAAGTCTCTTATTATAACACCGCCTTAGGGATTCGAAGACAGGTCATGCTTGGGCGCCGTTGTGGAATACGATTGTGAAGCGGTGTGGAGGGTTTGATCTTAGTTTGGACGTTGAGGATGGTGACGAGGATGAGAATGAAAGTGACGATGACTTTGCTTTTCTCAACGCATTCAAGAAAGAGAAGCCACTACCATGTCATCCCTCAACAGTCATCTACGGACATGCAGCTTCGCGTGGGTTAGACATCAAGCGCTGGAGTAAAGGATTAGATACCGGATGTGTAGGTCTTTTTCTATTCATCCCTCTCATTCGAAACTACACCTACCAACTTCTCACAATTGAATAGGTATACGGTCGTAGGCTCACCGCACTCGTCCTGACTCCACCAAACGCATGGGTAGATGAAATAGATGATCCAGACGACGAAACTGAGGACGACGATCAAGACAGCTCCTTATCCCGCAAGAAGAAAATGCGATTCGGTGATAAAGACGGGAAGACTGCGAACGCGCGTGTCGTGAGCGTTTCATGCCCGGACTTATAGCATTCTCTTCGTTCTTCGTTCTGATCGTTCGAGTCTTTGCGAGGAATTCGGAGAGACAGTAGATATATGGTTAATTGGGTAGGTTGTGTGCAGATGGGTAGATGAGGACGAACGCTAGAGCATCACTTACATATCTCACAATATACATCTTGCTTCTGACTTGATTTTTGGTTGTTGCCTGTTCTGCTTACTTCATAAAGTTTTGGTAGAAGACTAGTATTTTGTATTGCACCGTTTTGTATATAAGATATGTTAACTTCTTGATAATTAGTACTGCTACAACAGATACCTTGCTGTAACATTGTACATTCTATTGTATATTTGATTTAGGAACAATCACGAAACACTTTGTCTGTGCAACTATGGCCTCTAAAGAAATTCCATAATGGTAGGAACCGTTCTACTTATAGTTGAGAGTAATCTGCCAAATTGTGAATACAAATTGGACATGGTCTGAACAAAGCACTATAAAGTATCCTCAACCATAAGTCTTCAAAAACACTGCATCCTGTCTGATCTGTGTATTTAACCAGAGTACTGCTTAGATAGTACCTTAGTAGGGAACTATGCAGGAATCCTGAGTGTTATGGTTTTTTATTTTTGACTTCAATTTGACACATACTCAAATTTATATAGAGTGATCTATATTTGAGCTGTCAAATTATAAAGTAATATTCTCACAATTCCAATCTGGTCAGCTTAGCTTTAGTAATGTACTCTTTGACAATGATTATATTCCTTTTCATACTATTTTGTACACTGTAGTAAGTACTACAGTTTCAGAAGTCTTTAAAGAGAGTAAGATTTAAGTAATAACTAGACATAAGTTGGCTATCTGAATAAAACAACATTGTATCTGTACAAGGAGAATGAGGTGAAGAGGCAGAGGAAGTGATTCAGTAACTTGAGCTTAATTTCATATTTTCCATTTACACCATGTTGACTTTCCTAAAGTATTTTGAGACATTTTCCCCTACCTTGAGTGATTCTTTAATTTATTACTAAGAAAATTTGTAGTCAGTACTCAATGACAAGTGCAAATACATTTTAACAGTGTTCTTTCTATCCTTTTCAGCCCCTCTTGTTGTGAAGCCAGTAGTAACATTACAATGTCCACTCTATACAATAGTTTGTGATTTCTACAAGGGCAAAGCAACTTTGATGTACAAGACAGGAAGCACTGAACCAAGATATTACAGTACAAAACAATTTGAAATACATTCCCCCTCAGAGAAGAATCAGTTTCAAGTTCTGCAGAGACAAAGTAGTAAAGCCACTTTTAAGAAATACAAGATACAAAGTAGCAAAAAGAGCTGTTAAAACACAGAATGGTATGAAATCTCCTTCCTATTAGAATCAAATCAATACAACATTTCCTGGCAGTCATAATGTACAAGAGCTACAACTTTGAAACTTGTCACACTCATGTACAATCAAGTCATCAAGATTACTGAAGGACTTACAGTAAGAAGGCCATTTGTACTTGTATGGTTGTGAGGCAAGATGTGTACTGAATGTGTGTGTACTGACTGTCAGTAACAGTGTAGAGGGGACCTGAAGGCTCAGTGAGGGGACCCAGACTATAACTATCCTACACAATAGAAATACAGAACACAAGTACTAGAACATAGTTGGAACTTGTAGAACAGGTAGAGAGAGAGAGTGAGACAAGAGTAGAGTATATAGAGTGAGCCTAAGAGTACAGGACTACCTAGAGTAGACAAGATCAAGACTACAGGACCAGTCTGATCTCATATACCTATATATACTAAACTACACAAGAGTACTCAGAAAGTATGAGCCACTAAGAATGATAAGCTATAAAGAATGAAAGAAAGGAAGGTTAAAGATAAAGGTACAAAGAATGAAGGGATAGACAAAGGGTAAGAGACTATAGAATGAACAAAGAATGAAGGAGTGGTCAAAGGAATAGAATGATGAAATAAGGAAGGGTAGTAGTAAGAGTCAGTACACATATAGTCTATAGACAGCACCTCTGAGGGATGGAAGTCCTGAGTTCTAGTATAGAAGAGTGTAGAACCCTTAGAACTAAAAGTACAAGAGTAGAGAACTGTAACATCACCCCCTCTTTAAAACCAATCATTCTGATTGGTGAACATTAGGCTCAGTCAGTAGCTTAGACATAGGTCAGAATAGTAGGGCTTGGAAATCTGTAAGGCTGAGTTTGTATAGAGTACTAGGATGAAGCTGATAGAAATCTTAGATTGCCTTAAGAGTATAGGCAAGATTCTTGGTAGGTTCCCAAGTGTACTCCTCAACTGAGTACCCTTTCTAGTAAACAAGGAATTTGAGCTTTCTGTATAGTAGCTTAGTATCTACTATGTACTCTACTTTGTATTCTGGTTTAGAGCTAATAAGTTCTGGTAGAGACAGTAGGGTCTTTGTTGTAAAGGGAAACTAGGATCATAGTACTAAGACAACAGAACCTTGTTGAACACTGAGTGTATGTGCTTCTATGTTGCTAGAAGTTAGAGTTTGTAGACAGAGGTACTAACCTTCTTTTCAATAACAAAGAGTCTGAAGCACTTGTTGTCCAACTTCTTCATTAAGCAATCTGAGGTTAGATTAGTAGCTTCTAGTATAACTTTGTCACCAGGCTGGTAATCCTTAGCTACAGACCTCTTCTAATCATAGTTCTGCTTCATAACTTGTACTACCTTCTTCAAAAGAGTTCATACATTCACTCTGGTTTTGTGTATCTGTTCTGTAAAGTTTGTTACAGATTCAGAACTACTGTTCTAGTTCAGAACTGTCCCCTAGTATGAGTGTCTCCTATGATTGAGGAAGAACAGAGACTGTCCTGTTGTAGAATGTTACTAGTTATTGTGTATGAATTCTGCTAGAGCTAACTATTCAGACTAATCCAATTACTAATGATTAATGAACATTTAGAGGTAGAGCTTGATTTCCTGATTGACTTACTCAGTTTGACTGTCAGTCTGCAAGTAATATGTAGTAGAAGGGTTCTCTTAAATTCTGAGAAGTACATACAAGTCCTACATGAATTTCAACTCAAATTATAGTCTACAATTATAAATGAGCTTCTAAGAGAGTCTGTGTAACTAAAAAACATGATTCTAATAAATGTGTACTATACTTTCAGAAGTGAGTTCTGTTTAGGTTAGAACTGTATAGACTTGCTTAGAGAATCAGTTAACAATCATACAGATAGTGTTGTAACCCTAAGACTTAGGTAGCTTACTAATCAGGTCTACTAAGACTTCTTTCTAAGAGTAATCTAGAATCTGATACAGATATAGAGGAGTCTAAACCCTTGTCTAGTAAGTCTTAGTCTGTTAGCACATATTGTAACTAGTTACATACTTTAGGATTTCCTTCTGTATTCCTAGCTACTAGTAGTTCTGAGTAATGAGTTCCTGCATTTTGTGTCAGCTCAAATGTTCTACAGTCAGATTATTGTAATAAGCTCAGACAATGTCCTCCTACAGCTTCTAATCCTTTAGAATGTACAGTTGGCCTTTCTAGTAAACCTGTCTATCCTTATCCTCCTCCTAATCCCTAGCCTACTTCTCTAGCTACTTTACTACAACCTAGTCCTGTGTGTGTCTCAGAGCTTACTGTATGTAGGTAATAAAGTTAACATTCTTGAATTTGAGTTGAATCTCTTAGATTGTCTCAGACACAAAACAGGAATTGTTTAGGAGAACAAGATTTTTGTTATCATTCTCCCCCCTTTTATAACCTACTTGTCTTGAGAGTAAATTAGCTTTTGTCATTTGTGTTCTAAGTTTGTGAGTCAGTACAAAGTTATAGTCTTATAGTTCTAACATCTAGTAGGCTTAACAGTAGTTGAGCTTCTGAGGCACTTAGAAGTACTAGAGATTAAGGTGATCACTCTAAATCTTAAACTTCTGTATAGTACTAAGGAGATATTAATACTACTCCTCTAGGGAACAGACAATTGTAAGGAGTTTCTTGTTATAGATAAGATAGTTCTGTTCTGTTACAGAGAGGGATTCTAATTAGAACACTATTAGACACTACTTTCTGTCAATGAACTAAGACAGTACTACTCTATTTACAAAGTTAGAAGAGTTGGCTTTGACTCAGAACTTGTCTACAACTGTTAGAACTACTAATACAGGCTTACTAGTAATAGCCTGCTTGAGGGACTCAAACACAGACTACTACTAATCATTCTATTACTAAGGAACATCTTTGTTAGTAAGATTATGAAGGGGCCAGGTAATAGTACTAAAGTTTTGAATAAAGTATTAGTAATAGTTTACAAACTTAAGGAACACTTGGACCTGTTTCAGGTTCTAAGGTTGTAACCAGTTCCAAACTACAATTACTTTTGCTGGATCCATACAGACCTCTCCTCTATTAATTACAAAGCCTAGATAATTTACTAACTCTTGTGTAAAGGAGTACTTTACTTCTTAGAGAAACAGTTTATTATCTCAGAACTGTTATAGAACTGCTTGGATCAGTTGGTAATAGTGTTTGACTGTTTAGGTGAAGATCAGAATGTTGTCCAAATACACACTAACATACTCTGAGTCAATCAGATCTGTAAGAATGTGATTCATGAATGACTAGAATGTTGTAAGCAAGTTGGTTAGTCTAAAAAACATTACAGTCAGTTTGTACAATCTACAATTAGTTTAGAATGTAGTCTTCTACTCATCTCTGTCTTAGATCCAAATATTATTGTATCCTTATCAAATGTCCAACTTAGTGAAAACCCTAGATGT